GTATATTGGATGTAGTGTGTGTGTGTACTGTGTTTCCCCCAAAATAAGACATGGTCTTATTTTCTTTTGACCCCCGAAATAAGCGCTTGGCCTTATTTTCGGGGAGGTCTTATTATTTTTGAGGTGCAGGAGATGGTGAGCGTGGTCACCCAATGGCTGCTGCTGTGTTGCAATATTTTCGGGGAGGGCTTATTTTCGGGGGAGGGCTTATTTTAGCACATGCACTCAAAAGCCTGATTGCACTTATCCAGGGAGGTCTTATTTTCAGGGGAACAGGGTACATCTGTGTATGTGGGTTTGTGTTTGTGTGCATGCACTTCATTGATGGTAGGTAGAACCACATAATATTTCTGGGGAGATTAGCTATGGGCCTGCTACCACTGAAATGCTACAAAATTATTTATAGCCACTTTCAGAACAAAGAAAACAATGCAAATGTTGGCTCCTCATGTGAACCTCTTAACTATTTACTCCCTGTTTTATTCATTTCCTGACTCTTAGATCCCAGAAGAAATGAGCAGATGTCGGAATTCTTATACAGAACAAGATCTTAGACCTCTCAGCTTTGAGGACTTGGGACGAACCAACAACTCGGAGTCTGCCAGTTATCATTCTTATATCCAGGACTGTATGGATGATTTTTTCAAGGAAATAAAGGATAAATTTAAAGGCTGGGTCAGTTGTCCCACCCCAGAACCAGCAGAACTTGCCTATAAAAAGGTACGGTACATTGGCATATTTCTAGTGTTTGTGCATAGATTTTTAACAGACAAATTTTAATTTAAATGGTTAATATTCCTTCACTCTCATGTATTGTCTTTCTGTAATCTTAGATAATGCATAGATGTTTCTATAATGCATGTATTCTTTGACATGGCGAGTATTATTTAAGACCTTTCTATCCTCCTTTATTAGAAGAACTGAATGAAAAATGAAGGTTGTAGCAAATCCTAACATTTTGATTTGGGGTTATCATGAGTCAACCCCTGACTTAAATATTACATGTATAAAGTAATTCAATGCACCGCCAACGGTAGACAATTCTCCTATAACTTTCTCAATCCCCCTGGTAATCCTGGAAAAGGATGTGGAAGGTCTTTTTAATAGGCAAAACTTCAGAAAAGCTCCAGGCCCAGATGGAGTGATTCCTTCTTGATGGAAATCCTTCCATTCCCCACCATCCAGTCACAGCTGAAGAGGTTTCTTGATGAGAAGCGAAACATCTTCAAAGAAAAAACGAAGTCCAGTTGCCTCTTGAAAAGGACCTTTGGGACAACCTTGACCTGGATGACTAAGAATCATCATAGACATTCTTGATAGAAACCTGTTCTGACCCCCCCCCCTCCGTACGGTGAAGCACGCCGACACAAGATTACTGCTAGACAATTTATTCACAGTAAATTAACACACCGACAAGACTTTGGCAGCAACCCAGACTTCCAAGATAAGAAATACACACGAGAGCTTCTCCAGCGTTAGTATATTAGTTGAATCCTGCAAACAGCCTCCTCCCAAAGTCTCTTCTTATATACTCTCTTGGGAGGGGCCTAATCACAACCACCTGGGTCCAATTATCTCTTTTGTCTCCTTAATTGCTGCCGGCGTTTATCCGCCCGTCTCTGCTGGGCGTCCGGGACCAATTCCCTCTGAATCTCATCACTGCTCAAAGGCCTGATGTCTTCACCACTGCTCCAGGGCCTGACGTCATGGCCACACTCCCTTTGGCTTTCACCGCTGCTCCATGCCTCAGGCGTTTCCTGGTGTCCAACCAGCCTCTCTGGTCCCTGCTCAGAGTCTGAACCCTGTCCAGAGTCCTCCACAACTTCCAGAGCAGACTCGCTATCGGAGTCTGTTTGCAGCTCCAACAGCTCCTGCTGGGCCACAACAGAAACCCATGGTGAACAGCTGGTCCCCATGTTTACTCAGATTTTTAATAAATCACTGGAGGCGATTTATACCCCTTCTTAAACGCTCCACCATCATCCAGTTTCCTAAGAAATCTCCCATCCTTGACTACCGACCGGTCGCTCTGACATCCATATTCTTGAAGATCTTTGAGAGGCTTGAATCCGTGTGCTTCCATTTAGTCAATAGTGATTATTCAAGAGAAGGACTGTTGTAATAAAGATGACTAACTCTTTAGCCACAATGTACTTGCAGGTTTGTGAAGGGCCACCTCTACGGCTATGGAAATCCGTGGTGGAAATCCCTGCGACGCCTGAAGAAGTATTAAACCGTATCATTAAAGAACAGCATCTTTGGGATGAAGATCTTTTAGATGCTAAAGTCATTGAGACTTTGGATAGCCAGACTGACGTTTATCAATTTGTACAAAACAACATGGCGCCCCATCCAGCAAGGGACTGTGTCATCCTCAGGTAACTGTACAGACTGCATCCATAAAACACTTTCTTAACATTTAGCAGCTGGGAGTCAAAACACATTTGGATAAACTTGCTCATCTTCCTTTCACCCTCATCCATTCTTACAGAAGTTGTGCTTGATTCCAACAGGACTTGGAGGACCAATCTCTCTAAGGGAGCATGCGCGCTCTTAGGTTTCTCAGTGGAACATGACCATGCGCCCGTCCTTGGTATTAGAGTGAATGTGCTGTTGTCCAGGTATCTCATTGAACCTTGCGGGATAGGAAAATCCAAACTCACCTATATGTGTCGGATTGATTTAAGGTAAATTTTGTCCTCTATTTTCATTTGGTCGGGCAGGGAAATTCTATCTCTAGTATAACATGTTTGGGGAATGAAAAGTTACAGTGCCCATAGCTAATTATTATATATTGTAATACAGCATAAGCAATGGTGACCTCCAGATATCTTGTATAATCATAATCCTCTATATGGTCATTGGCAAAGGGAGTGTGCAAATTAAAGATCCCACTTTCTAAAGTACAGTTGTTTGCCCACTCCATGATAGAAAAGCCAATTAAAATTAATTTGGTTACTTTTGATTACTAAACGACGTTGTTGGCTTCTTGATAGAGTGATGTGGTGGCCTAGAGGTGGAGCTCTCGCCTCACAACCAGGAGGCTGTGTGTTCGATCCTAGGTAGAGGCGGATATTTCTCTCTCTGGGCACAGTGAGAACATATCTGCTGAATATAACTCCGCATTGGCAACAGGGACGGCATCCAGCCAGTAAACACTTAACTCCATTCAGTTACCCAGACTCCACCCTGCAAGGAATTTATGGAGTCATTAAAAGAAGATGATGATGATGATTGTTGGCTTATTGATACTAATGGTTCCAAGGAAATTTCCCTTCTTACTTGACTTGGCAATTTACTTTCTTAAGACTCTTTGAATTAAACTAAATGCCTTCTGTTTTTGGAGAATGCATCTGGAGCCATAGAGATTGGGTTTTTTTAGATATCCCTCTAGCGAGGGCAACAGACTTCTTGGGATCAAGAGCAGATGGAAAGGGGCAACCTTGCTCGTTGCCTTCTTTTATTTGCAATTAATTTGTTTACCTGCCACCACAGCAGCTTTTTACTTGAGTGCCCACAGCATGCTTTCAAGTCAGCTCAAAAGATTTGCTTACCAAAAGATGTTTTAGTCAGTTTTTGCAAATTCTGCTTTTCAAGGTCTCTTTGGGATCCTAAATGAAGATTTTTGGGGAAATACATAAAATTCTATAAAGGCCATCTTTCCTTGAGTCAACCTTATAGACCTATTACCTGTTTGATTGCTTCTATTCCATACTAGCTGATAACTGAGCGTTGCCTGGGTATTTATTTAGGGGGGGGGGGGAAATGTCCAGACCAAATGTAATTTCTAATGTTGGATTTTCCCCCTTACCTGAGGGAGCCCCATTGTGGAGTACTGTGAACTATGGCAACTTCATTGCATTGTACAATAGAATCCATTTTACGGCAGTACAGTAGAAGCCATTTTAAGGCACAACAGAGCACACACCCTGAGAGGTGTTAACAGTGTCTTACCCCCACATTTATGTACCAAGTTTGGTTGAAATTGCTCGAGGCGTTTTAGAGTTATGCTGGAACATACACACACACACACAAAGCCATTATGTATTTGTGTGTGTGTATGTATGTGTGTGTGTGTGTGTGTGTGTGTGTATATATATATACATACATACATATACATACACATACATACATACATATTATATTANGGACCCTTACCACTCTCCCGGCCTTCCGTAAAGCCACTAAGACCTGGCTGTTCCGGCAGGCCTGGGGCTGTTGATCAATGTCCAGCCCCACTTAGACTGGTCTGTAATTTTAATAATTGTATTTTTTTTTACTTTTGAATTTTTAAATGCTTTTTTATCTGTCTGTAAGCCGCCCAGAGTCCCAAGCGAGTGGGCAGCATACAAATTTTATTAAATTGAAATTGAACTGTCCGAAGATGTCTTCATGGTCATGCGGCTGGCATGACTAAATGCTGAAGGCGCACAGAACACTGTAACCTTCCCACCAAACGTGGCCCCTATTTTTCTACTTGCATTTTTACATGCTTTCAAACTGGGACAAGTAATGGGAGCTCACACTGTTATGCGACGCTAGGGATTCGAACCGCCGAACTGCTGACCTTTCTGATCTACAAGCTCAGCGTCTTAGCAGTGTGGCACAGAGCACGGGTCTCCAACCTTGGCAACTTTAAGACTTGTGGACTTCAACTCCCAGAATTCCTCAGCCAGCCACGTGTCTTAAAATTGCCAGTCTTAAAGTTGGTACAGAGTATTTGTTGTGCCCTGTAACCAAAGCATTGTGTGAAGGTCATCTCTACAACTATGGATTCTTTTCTTCGTTTGCTCTCTCATATTTCATCTGTTTGTTGAAACACAGCCTGGATATTAGTTTAAGGGCTACTTATTTTAACTGGCTTTCCACTTGAAGAATATGCTTCACTGACGTATCTTCATTTCAGTTCGTGTCGATGGAGTTTAACGATAAAGTATCTGTTTCTTCGCCTGGTTCATAAACTGAGCAATCTTAATTTGTAAAAGCCCTTTTTTAGCTGTTCTGCTGCTCTCCAAATTAAATTCTAAATTTAACTCTGGCATATTCAGGGCTTTGTTTTACCCTTGAGTCTCTCGCTAAGCAGGAAATACCTGAGGGCAGTTATGCTGTTGACCCAAAAAAACACACAAAAAAGAACATTCTTTCATTTACCATGAATGGTATGCAGCAACGCTAAAGGAAATTGCTTCAGAGTAAAGTCAAAAATAGCCGAAAGTTAAAGAGTTTGCTTTGGGATGCATTCATGCTGCATGGGTGGAAAAATCAGTGAGTTGATGAGAAGACTTCTAATTTTGTGCAGATGTGCCAAAAGACCAGCGCCTCCAGGCAATCAAGGCGGCCATTATGCTTCTACCAGATGAGAACAGAGAAGTCCTGCAGATTCTTCTGTATTTTCTGAGTGACGTCACGGCTGCTGTGAAGGAAAACCAGATGACGCCAACAAATCTGGCGGTGTGTTTGGCACCTTCTCTTTTTCACCTGAATACCCTTAAAAGAGAAAATTCTTCTCCAAGGTGAGTCTCCATATTGGTGACTGGGAGTTCGCAGGGTTTCGGGCGATCATCTAGCTAGGATTCTGCCCAGTTCGGTGAACCCCCAAATGTCACCTCTGGCTGGCCACACCCACCCCTCCCCGCCCCTCCCAGGAGTCTCCACGCGGCCTGTTCATCATGCCATGTAAGTGCGGAGGCTCGGGTAGGAGGAGAAACGGGCCTATCGGAAGTCCAGAAACTGCCCTGTTTCCGGCCTCCGGAGGGCCTCTGGAGCCCAGGGGAAGCAGTTTTTGCCCTCCCAGACGCTCAAGGAAAGCCCCGGGAGCCTGGGGAGGGCGAAAAATGCCCCCTCTCCAACGTGGTGCAGGAGGCCGACTAGGCCACACCCACCATGGCCTTGCCCACTCAGCAAGATATAAGATATTGGTTTTATTTTTGTAGGGCTGTGATTTATAAACCACCAATTTCTGAGACTGAGCGTTGCATGGTATCGTGCCCATATGTCATCTCTCAGTTCTTTTGCCAAAGAAATGTACTCAGCATCTGTATGTGAAGGTTTTAGAATCATAGGGCTGGACGGGACCTCAGAGGTCTTCCAGTCCAGCCCCCTATTCAAGATAGGAGGCTTATTCCATCGCAGTCAAATGGTTCTCCAGTCTACATTGATATTTCATTGATATTAACAATACAGTCTGATGAATAAAGGCTTGAAGGGAGTCCCGTTGAGTGGTTGTTTCCCCTTGTAGGTGGTTTTTAATTTCAGCCTAAGATTGCAAAGGAGATCAATGGGGCTCCCTTCTATTTCAGTACATATAGATGTGAATTATGAGGACATTAATCCGGGTCATTTCCATCAATTATACTTCCCATGACAAGTAGAAATCCATGACAGAAGCTGAAAATAAAGACACCTAGATGCAGAAAATCAAATATAAAAATAGGGTTTAGATGCAGACTCCTTTTCCTTTAATTATTCATTTACAGGCCAGACCATTTGTGCGTGCTGCTGATCTACTTTTATTGATTAGTCTTGTTCATTCATTGATAGGGTAATGCAGAGGAAACAGAGCCTGGGTAAACCGGATCAGAAAGACCTAAATGAGAATTTGGCTGCAACTCAAGGCTTAGGCCACATGATTGCTGAGTGTAAGAAGCTTTTCCAGGTGAATATTTGTCTGCTTGCTCATTTTAACATCTTGAACTAGTATTCTGTAGAGGTTGTATCTTTGTCATTGGCACCTAATGTTTTTTTTTCTGGCCGCTACCCAAAATCTACACTACTCCCATTTAAAAATTACTTTGTGACTTCTACCTCTGTGTGTGTGTGTGTGTGTGTGTGTGTGTGTGTGTGTGTGTGTGTGTGTGNTTTAAATCTATCTAAATCACACCTTTTCTTTCTTTGAAACAGGGGACACAAGCCTGACTGGTACACAAAAGCATTTGGGCACTTGTGTGCAGCTGAGGTCGTGAGGATTAGAGACTCTTTCCTTAATCAAAATCTTGAAGCTAAGGAACCAACATCCAGGTGATGGATCAAGTGGACCAGCACAGCACCGGCCTGCCTAGAGATTTTTGGGGAAGGTTGATTATCCGCCCCGGGACTGATCATATATTCATTGGGTCCTGAAGAGAAACTTTCTGGAATGGGTCTGAGATTGTTCATCAAAATTAGGTGACAATCCCTAGTGTTTTTTTTTTAAAGCTGCTTTTTTTGTCTGTGTTAGGCCTATAGTGTAGGTCTTAACTGGAAAAGTTTGGATGGTGCAACTTTTTTTTTAAAAGGTAAGGTTAATGTTTGCTTAGGTGCTGTGAATTGCTTCTGAGAAGCAAAGCTCTAAGACTTAAATATATTTCTGAAATATAGTGAAAATTATTCATTCCTATGTTATGTTAGCTTTATGTATGTATCTGTATGTCATTTGTGGAGGGACTGCTGCAGCCACTGGATTTGGTGTGTTCCTCGGTGGATTTTCACGAGAGTAAGTGAAGGAAGGTTTGCACGAAGGCAGAGGTGTGAATGATTGTCTAACTTGTTGACTGGAGTATGAAGAGCCCAAATGGTAGAACCAGAGTGTCTGGCACACTTGGAAGGCATTGGAAAATAATTTAGCAGATGGGGAAAGAATTGGCCTAGAATCTGACTGAGCGACCCATTACGAGCCTCAACTCTTCATTCCTCTGAGTTGCTTATTACTCATGTGTGCATCTAAAAATTGAAAAGTGTGGCAGGGCAAAGAATGGTAAAAAAAGCAGAACACTTGACACTTATTTAAGAAAGCCAATACGGCAATAATTTTTCATGTGCTCCCAGTTGACCTCAGCTTTTCATAGCTGCCATATGAGAATACAGCCACATGTTTGCCATGTGTCAGATTTTATCTTCTTTGGAATACTTTCTTAACAATCTGTAAAGAGCATCTCAAGAAAATGTGAATGAAGTGGCAGCTCCAGAAAATCACTCCAAGTCTGAATGTCTTGGAAAGAACCGTACATCGATCCTGATCTATAGGATTCCAAGGATAAGAGATGATGTGGGGTGTGGAAGGACATGCGTACAGCGTTTTTAAAGAAGCTGTGTGTTTTCTTAGTGAATGCCCACAGTTGCGGCAGAAATCAAAGAAAGGTATCTTTTGGTTTAAAGCAATGCCAGTGCTTCATATGTGCTACCAAATCACTTTTGCCTAACACCTATTATTTTAGTATTTGTTCACATGTTAAGATACAAATAGAAGCCTAAACAACATCTTTGTTTAATTAACATAGGAATAAATGCTTGTAGTTTGGGAACAGGGCCAAAACTGCTTTCCATAGCTGAAAAGGACAACACTGAAAAATATCATAACTGGAACATTATAAAGTTCTGAAGTGTTTCCGCATAGCAGCTACTACTCCTAGGAGTTAAACATGTTCATATAACCCATTCCATTTTAACCATATAACCTCATTTATCGACAAGGTTTGGGGGAAAATATCCCCCAAATTTAGAAGCAATGTAGCTGGATAAAAATGAATATTTGTGCCACAAAATTATAGGACATAATGGAAAGAACTGCAGGTTAAGATAAACAGATTAAAATGATCAAGAGTTCTATTGTGAACTTTGTATAGGACATCCCAGAAATATAAGCCGTGATGGCAATAATAAATGAAAATAGGAAGATGCATATACATTTTACCAGTCTAAAAACTACAGATTAATTATCCAATGTTTGGGGGGATGGAGAGGAGTCGAATTATTATTTTGCATGTAATATTGGTCAACAGTTTCTGCACATCTTAATGAGCATTATTAATGAATCTTTTTTAAAAGCCTTTAGAGAATGACACTGTTTCAGTGATTGATTTTACTGTACAAACAACAAAGCACAGGGAAGATAAATACTGTCCTTCCTTCTTGTTACAGAATATATATACTTTATTCCAATGCACTGACTTGATGTGAAGAATAGAAAATCATTGTAATCCATGGTGTTAAATAACTGGTGTTATGTAATTCAAGGGTAAAAATCTGCCCCAAAAGCAGGACATCATGTCTTGCTGTGAATCCAGCCCTCACCCCTTTCCATACCTCCAATGGTGCCCCGCTATAAAAACTACACTTTGATTGACGGATGCACGACTCAGGTGTGAATGCTATGAAATAAAATGAAAGGTGATTTATTTGTATATTTGGAATGAAATCATTGTACAGATCCATTTGAGAATAACTAAAACCAACCCCTTGCAGATATAAATTACTGCCAAGATGTATGTTGTAACCAAAGATGACGTGAAATTGACAGTCGGGGTGCTTTGTTCATTCCGAAAAGACCTGTGCAATTTCCACCTAGTCTTCTTTCCTAGCCTTGGGACTGTGGCATATTTGGAAGAAGCTCTTAGATACCATTGTCAGTATTATTGTTATTGTTGTTATTATTATTTTCATAGAGTGTTTGTGATGACTTCTGAAAGCATTAGGAAGAGCTCTTCCTAATTCTGCACCTGTACTAATGCCACCTTGGGTTGCTTTTGAGTCTCTTTATTTTCCCTCTGTCCAATCTATAAGCAGTATTGTGCCAAGAGAGGAGGAACTATGTGGCGGGTTAGAATTCTTCCTTGTATCTGTTTCAGAAGACAGTGTCCTTCACGATCTTCCTCTTCTTGGGACAAAAGCACTGCTCTGTTCAAACAAAGGAATTATATTTACAAGGGACACCATCGCCAGAATCAGAAATAGACTGGTACTGACTGTTTCAGGGAAACAGGAAGGGGGAGTGCAATGGGGATGAGGCAGGAAGTGTATCTTCCCATTACAGGTAGTTCTTGACTTACGGGCATAGGTGAGCCTGGCAACTATGTAAATCACAAGTGACGGGACCTGGGAGTCCTAGAGCAAATGTCGCAGTCATTCTCTGTGGGCCGTGACCCATCAAAACCGCGCTCGACTAAACCGCGCCCGATTAAACCGCGTCGCTGACGTCATCAACAGGGCGACAACAGCGCNCCCAATCAGCATCTAAAAAGCCACATACAACAGCCATCTGTTGTGAGCTAGGCCTCACCAAATCACAAAACAGACTCCTTGTCCCCCCCACAAAACCCCATTTTTATTGGGCTAATGTGAATTCCTAGCATTCGAATCCAGCAAAGTCCTAGCCAACAGTCTTTCAAGGGTGAATTGCAAACACAGACCTTATCAATCCTTGGATAGTTGCCAGGCCGACAACTTCCAGACGCAACTGCTGTACAAGGAAATACTTGGCAAGGAGCCTTTCAGATAAACAAATCTTCACACTAATAAACAAACTAATTGTCTCCTGCAAACTCCATTCCCCTTTTGCTCCTATTTATTTCTTCTGGAAGGGGCCATTCAGCGTCCACCTGTGGCCTTACTCTCAAGTCAACCTCTGTTTCTTAATTGTTCCATTCTACTGACAGCTTGGCGCTGTTACTTTTTTCAGTACCGAATGGTCACTGTTGTAAGTCGAGGACTACGTGTGTGTGTGTGTGTGTGTGTGTGTGTGTGTGTGTATGTATATGTATATGTATTTGTATTTGTATTTGTGTGTGTATAATAAATGTCCAAGTTGGCCCACGGCTATAATATATGCGGTGACTCAGTGGCTAAGACGCTGCGCTTGTCGATCAGAAAGGTCGGCAGTTCGAATCCCTAGCACCACGTAACAGAGTGAGCTCCCGTTACTCGTCCCAGCTTCTGCCAACCTAGCAGTTTGAAAGCACGTAAAAAAAATGCAAGTAGAAAAATAGGAGCCACCTTTGGTGGGAAGGGAACAGCCTTCCGTGTGCCTTCAGCATTTAGTCATGCCGGCCACATGACCACAGAGACGTCTTCGGACAGCGCTGGCTCTTCGGCTTTGAAACAGATGAGCCCCCCCCCCCCTAGAGTCGGGAACGACTAGCACATATGTGCAAGAGGAACCTTTACCTTTAATAAGATTCTTTGCCCTCTGAAAGCAGAAGGGAGATTAGAACCCAGAGGAAGACGAGGAGGGCTGAGGCAGCGGAGAAGAGCCGAGATCGAGGCGTATGGAGCCGAGCGCATCCGCCTGGCAGAATTTTCCCCTTCCTTCTCGGAGAAGCCGAGCTGAAAATTCATCAACTCTGCATGATTTTTCCGATTCTGACAGCTAACTTCGATGTGACGATAAATCTGGCCCCAGAGGATATTAAACTAAGACACATGAGCCTGTAATTTTCTGCTGCCACGTGTGAGATGGTATAATGATCAAAAGAAAATGGCTTTCTAACGAGCACGTCGCCTTTGTGGTGTTTGCTTCATGCCTGGTGCACTAATTGAATCAACCCAGTTCCACTGTATCAATTCTAACTTTGGTATTAGGGTTTAATCAAGCATGGGGAGGACCAGCTTGTAGAGTGGAGGGGCCCTTTTGTGCGGTGCCCATCTGCCTTCCGAACACCACAAAGCCCCCGATGAGGAGCCACGACTGGGCAGCAAGCGGAGGAGTCCTCGCTGGATTAAGCTTGGCGAGCTGGAAAGAGCAACCTCGGCTCCCCCTTTTGGCTCATGGCGAGGACTCAGTCATGGGATGGACGGGGAGAGGGGGGGGTGAGAGAGAAAGGAAGAGTGGGAACAAGAGGGGAAGAATAAAGGGAAAGATTGCAAAAAGCAGGGTGGGAGGGAGGGAGGGAGGGGAGGGAGGAAGGGATGGAGGAGACACAAAGAGGGAGGGAGGAGACGGAGGGAAGGAAGGAGGAGAGAGGGAGGGAGGAAGAGAGAAGGAAGGGAAGAAGGAAGGAAGGAAAGGAAGGGAAGGAAAAAAGGAGGGAGAGGGAGGGAGTGAAGGAAGGGAGGGGGAGAAGGAAGGAAGGAGAGGGAGAGAGAAGGAAGAAAGGGAGAGAGGAGATGGAGGGAAGGAAGGAGGAGAGGTGGAGGGAGGAAGAGAGAAGGAAGGGAAGAAGGAAGGAAGGAAAGGGAGGGAAGGAAAGGAGGGAGAGGGAGAGAGTGAAGGAAGGAGAGGGAGAGAGTGAAGGAAGGAGAGGGAGAGAGAAGGAAGAAAGGAAGGAGGGGAAGGAGGAGAGGGAGGGATGGAAAGAAGGAGAGGGAGGGAGAAGAGGGAGGAACGGGGAAGGAAGGGAGAGGGAGGTAGAGGAGGGAGGAAGGAAAAAGGGAGGGACTCAGCCTTGGGATGGACGGGGCTAGAGCGAGAAAGGAAGAGTGGGAACAAGGGAAGCATAAAGGGAAAGGTTGCACAAAGGAGGGAGGGAGGGAGAGAAGGGAGGAAGGAAGGAGAGGGAGGGAAGGAGGGTGAGGGAGAGAGAGAAGGAAGGAGAGGGAAGAGGGAGGGCAGGAAGGAGAGGAAGGAGGGAGGGAAGGATGGGAGGAAGGAGAGAAAGGGAGAGAAGGAAGGAAGGAGAGAGAGGGAAGGAAGGAGGGAGGGAGAAAAGGAAGGAAGGCACAGCAGAGCAGAGGAGGTAACATTTTAATTGTCCATTTGTGGCAAAATCGACAATTAACAGAAGGGAAAAGACTTTGTGTAGCAGCTCAGGGTTGTAATGCGGGGGTCCTTGGTGCTCTCTGAGCTTGGTTGTTTTCCTGCAGATGTTCCATTACTCAAACCAGGTAACATCACCCAGCCTATTACATAATGACAGCAAACCCCACTCCCTTCTAGCACTGATGACGTTGCGTAGCTTCGTCGGGAAACGTCTGCCAGAAAACAACC